AGGAAAAAATACACTTTCGCCGATACGGCGACCTAGACTTCCAAACACACAGCTAGTGAACTCTACGTCATGTGAAGAATGTGCTTGACCTCATCGAAAAGTCGCGGGAAAAACGAACAAAGAAGTTAGTGCGCAAACGCATGATTATGTCACCCACAGCCCTTACACACAAGGACAAATATTTCGATAGAATAAAAGTGATCCACGATACCTCATATGCCAGTTGATGTGCATTCTATTGTATCCAAACCGCGAAGTCTATCTCTTTCCGTGTACATGAACAGCACCTAGAGATTGGGAGAGAAGGCCATCCATCGCTGCTAGCCGCGCACATATATGACACTAATTTTACACTGGACGAAACTCAAGTCGTCGGCTAAAGTTCTCGGAAGCTCACACAACCACTTCCTGCAACAATGGTCCACAGACCTCCAACTGACATTAGGGTTTGCCATACAGAATTCAGGGAGTAAAATGCATCAAAGTGTCCTGACAGTAGGTAGCGTGCACAAATGCCATTCCTGGATCATGCAAAATTGGTTTCAGTTGATCGGAAGTTACAGATTGTACGGTGGGATGGAGCGCTTTGTTAGACGTGCAGACCAGCGCTCTTCAAGAAGAATTCAATGCCAATGACCGTCTCTGGGTCGTGGTCAAAACGAAGGTCCATTATCAGTTTGTAGATGAGAGTAGGGCATGCACTTGCGTAGTTCTAACATTCACTGACCCAAAACCTGAATCATCACAAAGCTCAGAATGGGCTTGCGGACACGCAGTTCCCTCTTACCGCCTGTCCTAATATTCAATCGACTGATTTGACACACACACTAATAGTGCTCCCAGTAAAGCAGCAGATAGGTTTTGCCACAAAATGCATATTTATTACTACAAAGGTAATTTGAACAGAAAAGGCGTGATTGTCAGTCGGCTCAGCACGAAGAATCTGTTACACTTCCTCCTCCCAATTTGTTCGTCCGATGCGTCCAGACTTGGAGGCGGCTCTCTCCTTGGCCATGTAAACCGCAAATGGAAAGAGAATATGCGCATACCGCGGGTTTATTCAACACAAGCAAATTCCTGTGGGGAGCTTAATTACCCACTCCCTATTACTGCTTCTATCAAGCCTCATGGTATCAAAACAGAATAAAGTATGCAAAGTGTGGCGTAGACACACAAACGTACTCTCATATTTTGTCGGAAGACGTACGCAGCGACTCCCATCGCAGACATATTTCTGTCCATTAAGAATGGGGAAGGTGAGACCCGGTATCTGACGGAGACGAGGATCATCATATTGTGGCCTAGCCATGACTTGTCTAAGAGGTGTGGTTTCAGTGAATATCCTCCTCCTCAGAAGGACTCCGTACACTTGGCTTGGACATCATTACAATGTGACTGACTGATCACAAGTAAACCGTAAATGTTTTTTGGATATTTCAAATAATAACTATTGTCGTAGTCATCGTGCTGCCTGCATCCTTCTCATCAGTCGATAATAATAACGACAAATGCAGAGGGCTAAACAGAGTTCAGGGTGTGCCTACGGACACAATTCCCTCTTACCTCCTGTTCTAAACTCCAAGCGACTTATTTGACACACACAATAAGCCTTCATTTATGAAAAGCATCCGGCAAGGTTTGCCACAAAATTCATATTTATTACAGCAACAGGGATAGAAACAGAAAAGGCGTGGTTGTCAGTCGGCTCAGCACGAAGAATCTGAGAGGTGTGGTTTCAGTGAATACCCTCCTCGTCAGATGGATTCCAATTTATAAAGGGATTGTTGTTGTCGTCTCCACACCGCCGCCCGCGCCCTCACTGCACTGCACTGAGGAGGGCTGCGTACTTTCGTCACGTGTTGAGTTAAGGACGTGAACCTGTTTAGCGCACCATTCAGACTGTAGCATGCCTGGGAATGCGGAGTCGGATGGTGGCTTGTTTTGCGGTGAAAGTCGGTGTGAGCCGTGTGAAAATGACTTGGCTTCTTATGCATTCACCCGTCTCATAGGATAACCTATTTCGGTGAATCGGGGAGGGGTAGGCCTGATGCATCTACGTCGTCGCAAATGCCAGAGCACTTAAACTGATCCCTCGTCCATCTGAAATTCCTCAATGCATTATGGTTGCGACACTGCATGACGGAAGTATTTGCCACGGATGAAGTAAAAAAGGGAAGAATGGAATGTGGATTTAAGTGTCAGGTGATGGATCGATCCATCCGATTACGTCTGTATGCCGCATACAGTCTTGCTCGATCAGGACTTCTTTAATCTATGCCTTGGATTACCTGTTTCCCGCCCGCTGACATGTAACCAATCCGCGCCTTTCGAATTGCGCCATCCGTTCCGTCACTCCGCTGGAGTAATAAAACAAATGCATGACAGAACTGCCAGTTTTCTCAACGCCTTCCGCAGATTCCGTTAATATCCGCGTCCGTCTGCCTAAATCATACAACTAATATTAACATCCTTCCCGTATGGCCGATGTCCCTGCACCCTATTTTCTCAGGAAACCTACATATTTACTCCTTGCCAAGACAAGGACTGAAGCTCAAATCGCGCGACTTCCCAGCTGTATTTGCTTTATTACTTGACGTAACACCATCATCGTCGCGGACGACAATGGCACCGTGTGCCCAGAGGCAGAAGCGGTGATTTGCACGCGAATTGACTTGTCAGGGTAGGCGGACTGCGCAGCATCTACCGCGTTCCCTGCTCCCTCCCTCACTCACCGAGCCTATTGTCTGACAGACCGCAGGTGGGCTCAGACACCCTGACTGACAGAGCTACACAGCTCACCCAAGTGTGTCAATCAGACCTGGGCGGCTCGCCTCCCAAATGATTGGGGATGCAATAGAAGCCACGTTGTGAAAGAGCCATTGCAGCCACTGTCTCCGTCTTCAGAGCGGAGGACCGCCAGTTGGCAGCCTTGCCAGTCACGACTTTTGGCGTCTCGTGAGAGATTCAAGCGCGCGTCAGATTTGTTCTATTGAGGAACGTGGTGAAGTGCCGCGGAGCTAGATCGCCCAGAATCGGCCTTTCTCTCTCTCCTCTCTCTCTCTCATACACCAGTCGGTTGGCAGAGACGATCAACCGACTGATGCTGAGTATAAATGCAATGGCTGGCAGAACTGACGCAATTCGTCTAGGTCTGCCACACACGACCTTATCCCCCTCTCCCGCCCCAACTCACCATGTTCTCACAACAGGGATGGGGAGGGCTCGAATCTCGCGTGCGTGAGTATGCCGCATTGATAATTAACCAAGGAAGTCGTTTCCCACTCACGAGAAAGGTGCCTGTCCTGTGCCTCTGGCGGACGATGTGAGCGGGGTTTCTGTGTGTGTGTGTGTGTGTGTGTGTGTGTGTGTGTGGGGTGTAGGGGTGTCAGCGGTGGGTCCACGTGATGGTCGTAGTGGTCGCTCACTTGCTTGCAGGTGAGACTACGCCTAGCGTCCATTTGCTGGCACCTAACTCCCACCTGTGGCTCCACGTAGCTGGGCTCTGCTCAGCGGCCACACCCCGGGCAACCGTCTCGACCGGCGGGCTAAACCAGGTGAGGGTATCCGTGCGTGCACCTGCACGCGCGGTACTGTGGTCTGCGCTGGCCGGATGGATCTTCGCGTCGACATCGTCGAGACGAGGCTCTGCCTGGACCATCGTAGGCGGCCACCAGGTAAGTTTCCCCTCAGGTAAGTGCGCTTGCTTTGTTTCTTCCTTTTGTTTGTTGAAGTTCCGCGTCGTACGCTGCGCTTGCTGCCTGCCCTTTATAAGCTAGTCTGTCTGTCAATAGCTAAACGACACCCACGATGCCTGCTACGATTGTCTGTCCGTCCGTCTATGCCACTCTCTACTAATAGCTAGGTGTTACGGTGCTTGACTTTGTGTGGTGCCCTCACTTTGTCTCTGACTGATGACTGTCCGCTTGTTCACTCTAGTTCTAAGTCCCCTAGCGTTGGTTAGTGTGTATGCTCTCTCCCACTTCACTCCATCACATCATCACCTCACCACCAAGGTCCCAGGCTAATTCGGGTCGTTCTCTCACTAACAAAAAGTCGTGGCCCATAGTGGAGTCCGGCAGCCGTCTGGGATAACCGGGCAGCCCTGTTCAGGGATGCGTTGCCTGCCCCCGCGAGGGGGAGGGGGCTAGAAAAGGTGCCCTAAAGATCGCTGGGAACCACGCTGTCTGTAGGCTGGCCGTGGCCGCAGACAAAAAACACACGGTCGCAACAGCCAAAACCGAAACAACAACAACAACAATCACTCTCTTCCTCTTTCAGCCTATTCTTCTTCTTCTCCTACTCCTACTTTTCGTCGCCGCAGTCGCCAGACTGGCAGGGTGAGCCCGCTC